ATTGGGTGTGGCCTGTTATAACCATGAGACCAACTTGTTTGGTTAGGTGGGTCGGGTTGCGCCCACTACTGATACTGATACTTTATATACTTCCCCTTTTAAAGGGCGACTAGGGAGGCGAATCGCCAAATCCTGGTGGTGAAGAATCATCATCCACCACCTTTTTTAATTCGGCGCCAATGTAGAGATACTAGGTTATTTGGATAGCAAGAGATTTGGAAAATGTGCAGTGCCCTCGCCGGGTACTCGAACCACGGACCTCTCGAATATGCGCCGAGTGTGCTGACCACTACACCACGAAGGCATGCTAAGAAGGCGGGAGAAATACCTTATAAAGTAATGATGACGATGTATGTAACCTTTTGGCATGAAGACGATAGCTCACCAGGAATTCATCCCTTCAATTCAGACAGACTATAAAATACTTTATTGTGATATTTTGAGGCGGTAAAGAAAATTCGTCGGAAAAAAACCTCACAAATGCAGGGAGGGGAAATGATTGCTTCATAAAAACGCACAGGATGATTTAAACAATGCTGAAAAATTTATAATTAACACATAAACGCTCAAGAAGACTATTTTATAGTGTACGTACAGAGGGTTTAACCCTTTCCGGCACGCTACCTTTTAAAGTTGGAGTTTTGATAAAAAAAAAGGTAGGCTTTTAATTAGGCCTAGAAGAGTACACAAGTAAAAATTTTGTGAAGATAGCACTTATCGTTTAATTCTATGGGTGTGCTCAAAGTGGGCACACTGATTTAATAGAGCTTCGAAAAGAGTGCTGCAACGAGCACTGTCAATGAACTGACCGATGAGATGCGGAGAAACAAAGAATACGGGCTCTCAGTTGTCCTAGATTATCGGTGAGCCCGTTCTGGGCACACCTAGGGTTCGCCGTTTGATTTTAGGCAAGATTTCAAGGTAAAAATTTAAAACTAATATAGAATAAGGAGATTAGCATACAGCCAAAAAACAACATAGAAATGTCTTTTCAAACAATTCCTTTTATACCCTAAAAAAATCTGGAAGATTGCTTTGAAAAATGAGGATCTTAAAAAACTAAACATGGCTAAAATATATGGACTGGTTTGTGTTGAGCTGCCATCTACTATAAATAAGGAAGGTTCAGAGTAACCTATAGTAACCTATAAATCCTTTTCATTCAATTTTTCTGTGCGTACAGAAGGAAACTTTTAGGTGTGTCCAAACCGGACACACTGTGCCGCAAAGCGTTAATTCAAGTAAGGTAAGATTTTGCACACCAGGTAAGTTTTTAAAATTTGGTTGACCCTATCTTTCTTTTTTTCCATAACTTAAAATTTTTACCCAAGAAAGGCAAGAAAGAGGAACATGAAAACAGTTTTTCTAAATAATTATTGAATACCGCCAAAAGTAATTAAAATGCAGTGCTTAAGCGGATGAAAAGACAAAACACTTTATGAATTTTAAAGTTATTCTATCAGAGTTCTTAATATAAGCGTCTAAAGCTGTAAGATAAATCAATGCAAATTGAAGTTGCAATAAAAAAATATCTTGATGATTAACAGGATATTGCTGGTATTTGAAATTAAAAGAGCTGTCCATAGAAGTAATAGCGAAGCACTAAAATACGCTGTCATTAACTGGTTGGTAAGATATTTTGAGTTTCTGTAGCATGAAGTAGTCTTCTTTTATCCTTTTAGACTGCGTAAACAACGCTTAAAAAAGCACAGGTACTTATGTCATGCAAAGAGAGAAACCCCCAAACTCAGAAATACATAGAAAAAAATCTGATGGGGACATCACATGACTTTCTTGTACGGCCTATTAAATTATGCATATTTTTGCTGCATTTGATTTAAACTTATTTTTCCGAGTTTCATTAGAGATATATTTCTCGATCAAGCAATTCAGTTCTCACTTCGTGGCAAGGAAAATATATAATAACTCAAAAGAACTTCATTAAAAATTGCAAAATACAAAAAAACTTAAAACACCCAATAGAGTTAAAAACAGTTAAAAAAAGTTTTACGATTAAAATTACAGTTTCTACGCAAAAACAAGCAAAAATTAGAGTTTAAATTAAATAAAATTAGGCAGAAAGACAGATTTTTTTTCGTGCACAAAGCTTTTGGCCTCACTTGGCAAAAAGACACTGAAGTTGGTGCAGAAAATGACTTAATTCATTATTCTGCTAAGTTTAAAATGTAAACAAATGGTGGCATCGTTAGGCTTAGTGGAACTTACGCAACTTTTAAATTGTTGATAATTCTACAATTATTGCATGCAGATTAAATAAAGGCATAAAAACCTTTACCGGAACTTAAGAACAATATAATTCAATCACTTTTAAAGCAAAAAATGAACTATTTACCAACATATAAGAATAAAAAGACTTAGCTCAAGCCGGATAACAGAGTGCATACCTGTATATATTGAGTAGCCATTGAATAAAACTCATCTTAGCCATTAGTTATGAGCAGTAACTAGGGGTATTTTTTCATGTGTAGTGGACCGAACGGGTATAAAATTAATACTTCTTAATAAACAAGTATTTTAACTTGTAATTATATATTAGGTTCAAAATTTAAGTAATTTTACGCCTAATTTAATTTTTCTTGACAAAATTCTGTACTGAGACTAGGAGGCTGTATGTTTTGCTCGCCAGTGTTAACAGCTTTGAGGTCATATTGCCTGGACAAATAGTATTTAAGCAAATACTTAACAAAAGTCTTGGGCTTGATATGCCGTATTTCAGCCTTGAATAAATATACTGATATTTAGAAATGAAAATATTATTCATAATTTTATTAAAATTTTAAAAATATTAAGTAATAACGTGTATTTAATGATTTATTATACTTAAGCACTAATTGCTAACCGATATTTCAAACATAAGATAAGTAAATATTTTTCAGGAGGCCCTAAAACGTTTACCGCCAAAGGCCCCCAAATGGTTTAACCCACCCCTGTGTTTAATCTCTTTGCAAGACAAAGGATATTATCAGTAGGGTAGACAAATATTCCATGATGTATGCCAATGGACTTCGGCGGAAAAGGCTCTCTTCCGTACGAATGTTTGGTGTTTTTATGTTATTATTTCAACTTTTCCTTTCATAACCTCATTGTTTCTTCGAAAGGCTTGCTTTGACATGTACTTCCAGTGCAGGTAAATGTGCTCTGACAGCGTTAATGAAATGAATATATTAATAATCTCATTAATTTTTTTTTATAAAAAATGAATGTTCTTAGTTTACTATTATGTACGATTGAATTTTGAGTCTCAAAAAGAAATCATCGTCCATTTGCTAACACAGTCAAATCATAAAAAAAAAAAAAAAAAAAAAAAAAAAAAAAAATAAAAATTTAAAAAAAAAAAAAAATCGTGCAAAATCTTATTTGAAAAGGTGTGATGGAAACGAAACATTTATTGATTTAATTTATTCTTACATTTTTATATTTAATATTTCGAAATCCTTCAAAATCATGTCGATGAAAATTGTTATCTGTGACAAAATAAAAATTTTCAGCCCTGAAATTATTTTTAATTGATAAAAATTCCCTTAAAAATGCTGCAGGTCCAAAAGAGAGGGAATTCTCGGGCTTTTAATAACTCAAAAGATTGAAAATAAATATTTCTCGATAAATATCGAGAAAAAAAATATTCCTTTTTCTTACTAAGCTCGTGTAATTTGCTAATTGAAATTCACATTCTGTTTATTATGAATAAATTAGCTTAAAATTAATTAAAAGTTGTTTTATTAAAAGTATTATTTAAATTACATGTATATGCTATAAAAAATGATGAAAGATCTGGGGAAAGAAATTATTGAGGCTATTTTCTCTCTGTGTACCATTGAATGAGACGTGATTTTCTTTTTCTTCTTGTTATGTGCAATTTTTTTCTTGTTTAATGACAGGATTATTATCGTGTTTCTTATTCAAAAATTAGAAGAAAGGTATAGTTTCTTTTCCTAGCTTGCATTTTCTAATTAAGTTCAAATTATATTTATTTATCAGGCAGAATAAAATTTCTATGCGAAGTGAAAAAAATGATAAAATGCAGATCATAGTTAACTTAAACCCTTTAAATTAATTAAGAAAATAATTTTTGCTCATTAACACGTCAACTTCGTTTTTAGGTGGAATCTAAACTAAGTAAATAGGCATCATTAAAGGATTCTTTTTCAAGAAATACCGATGATAAATGCCTTTTTTTCCCCCAGCTGCACGTTTAGCAATATCGAAGAGTGTTTCCACTTTACAGACGTTCTTAACAGGGATTTCTGTGAGTGCATGATTATATTTTAAGGGGTGTTGGAACCCTAAAATCTTCAAAAAATTGTGATTTCGGATTTTTGCATTTTCAAATTCTCTACACTTTTATCTTTCTAAAAATACCATTCTTTAATCTCTATGAAAATTAGAACTGTAAAAAAATCTAGTTTTAATTTGCTATCTACTGCTTTGATCAATGAGGATTTTTACATAAAAACGCGTTTTTCTCCAAACGTGATTTTTTTTACACTCGATGTACCTTTTCTCGGGAACTACTGCTCACAGGTATCTAAACTTTTTATGGCTTATTTATTAGGTTCCCTAATATTTACTGAAATGAGCTTTTTGTTTAGAAAAATGATTTTTTAAAATTTTTTTTGTCTGAGAAAAGTGCTAAATTTTACTATGCCTAACAAAATATCCTGTAATTTACTCTAAAATTCAAAATGTTTCAAAAACTCATTTCAGTATCAGATAGGTATACTTTTACAAAAAAAAAAAAAAAAAAAAAAAAAAAAAAAAAAAAAAATCAAGCTTGTGTCTACAACAGATTTTGAGAAAAGGTACATCGAAAATGGCCAATTTAACATTGTCGGTATAGGGGTTTCTGATACCCCTTAAACAAACAGACGCTTTTCAAGTATCTATTTGCAAAAAGTAAACAAGTATGAAATTTTATTATTAATGAGAAATGATTGCTGCATTTCTGCTTTATTTGTAAAGGGAAGTTAAAAAAATGAAAATTAACTTAAAATTAGTCACAACAGTAACCTTGTGTTTGGCGTCCACTTTTTGTTTGCTGAACTTTCAAAAATATTAAGCTACAAAACGTATGCTTTCATAATGAGATAAAATTAAAGCTTGTACATATTTATGTTTCATAACACACTGATCAACAACGGGTGGGTTTGTTAGAGTAGAAATTTTAGTAATCTTATGTAGTTTCAGATGCTGATTTCGATTTTAGAAACATCGTTACTTGAAATTTCGGAGTACCAACACAACCTTGAGAACTGTTCACAGACATATCGCAAACAAGATTGAAGCTAGTCCGTTTTCATAACAGAAATATCTCCCTATCATTGTCGCTGGATTACACTGCACAGATTCTGATAGTTCATTTAATTAACAGTTACTTTTTATTTTGAGACTTTCCTTTCTGCTTTTTTCCGTTACGTACGCACTCAGTCCAGAGGTTTACGCAGATTTTGTAGCAAGCGGCGCAGTTCAGACTGAGAGGAAGAATCGTAACAAGCACAGTTTTTAATAGAAACCTTGAAAGATATCTGCCTTATAAGCCTCTGATATATATTAAAAGTGAACACTGGGTATTCGACATGGCTTTGGTAAGTGTGAACTTTAGTAACGTTAAGTTTTCCGAATATATGATATTCATAGCTTCGAGTAGCAGCGCTTGTATTCCAGCCAGTTAAATTCTTGTACGTTCCAAACAGTCACTATAAATCAAGGAGACATAAAGTTTTGGTTAGTATTATTCTGAGTTTTCTAATAAGAGTGACAAAACAAAGCTAATATTTTACAGTTTGAGTGGCTCTTGTTTCCACAGTCAGTTTAGTCTGAGGCCGATAAATCTCCAGCATAGTAAAGGTAACGTTTTAGAGTGAGTGGTCAGTAGTACGTAATCATCTAGAAGCCTCCCAAGTGTTATAAGATGAAAGCATATCAAAATATGAAAAAATGTGTTCTGTAATATGAATTATGAGAAACATTCGGGGTATGTCTAGAAAAGTCTAAAACTAATAGTCCTTACTACTCGAACTAGAAGCTGGATATACTTTTGTTGTTTTTTGTGGGAACGGGATAATAGAGAAAAAGAGTAACATAAAAAAATGTTCTGAAGGGAGACTCTAATTATAAGAATTTAATATGTAGTTTTGTGTCATTAATGCATTTGTAGAAGCTGACCTTTCCAGCTCTTCACATCAAACTAGGTTAAATGAAAACGTTTTATGAAGGAAATGGTTAGAAAATGAAATGACTTCTAAGAATAAAATTTTTCAAAACTGGAGAAGTCAAAATTAAGGAGGCCATCTTTTATCCCTCTATAATTTAAGGAACTTATGTGTGATTCTGAATTCGACTATACACCAAATAAGGCTAAAATTGATGAGATCATGGAAATCTGTTAAAAATGTTATTATAAGTTTAACCAAAAAGCAGAAAATTTCGCAGAAATAATTAACAAACTTTTATTAAATTTTTGAAAAACAAGAAAACGTTATGTATTGCTGAAGATGCTCAAGATTGTTGTTAAGATTCATTTTCTGGGCACCAAATTTGACTTTTGTTTCCAGAAAAGGTGATTTTGTAGCCGAGCGTGAAGAACTTTTCTATAAAGATATATGAGCAATGCAAACATGCTATTAAAAACATCAAAATGCTCGACTGTTGCTGGATTCAAAACAAGTAGTGTGCCAGAACCAAATATCAAAGAAAATGAACCAGAATTTATTAAGAAAATTGTCACTAATTGTGGTGGCTTTTAAATGTAAAATAAAGGTGTTTTTTTTAGATATTAATTCCTTTTCCCTCTCAAACAAAGCCAAACAGAAAAATATTAACTGATTATGTACTGGAACGGACTTAAAATTAGCGGAAAAAGAGAACTAAGTTCAACATTCGAAGTCTATGCAACAAAAATTACGTCAAATATTGTGTTCAGTATTATCCTGAGTCAGAGATCCGAACTATAGCGTCATACTTAATAAAAGTAGTAATATTTAAGGAATTTAAAATACCTTAAGTTAGAAAGTGAAAAGGAAAAGAGGGTTTCAAACCGAATTTAGAAATCTTGCATTCTTTCAATTTGGAAAGAAATTTGGCGGAATGCGAAAAAATTTAAAAAATAACCAGGAACGTTATAGAGTGTTTCAATAAGTTGAATGAAAATTTGGATACAAATGCTATATTATGGAAGAAACTATAAAATCAGCAGCACAAATAAGTTAAATAAATTAGAGAGTACCTTAAATTGTGGAATGAGATTTTAAGCTACGATCTTAAGTAAGAAAAAAAAAAAAAAATAGCCATGATTTCTCTGTTAATGAAAGATCGGAGTTTTCAAGAGATTGACGGTGCATGCATTTTTACATCTTAATAGTTTAATTGGTTTTAACTTATACTACATAATAGTTTAACAAATATGTTTAAAACGATCTTTCTTAAAAAAAAGGAGGATTTAATGCCGGAGGCCGTTGCATTCACGCATATTTCTGCAAATGATAGCTACAGCTAACGGTAAGTACCTTTCTATTCTCTGCAATATGTCAGTTTGAAATCTTTATGCAAATCTGAAACCTGATTAAACTTTTAATATTTAAATGCACGCAGCTAGTGAACCTATGTGTTGAAACGCTCAGGAGTATTGATGTAATTAGAGTCTGTCTGGTTAAGCTTCATAATCAACGAATTAAATTTTGAGCTTTTATTTGTTTTGCTTTTGTTGACTCGTACGGCTCTTCCCAATATCACACATTACAATAAGTATTTACACTTCAAACTACTAAGAATATTAAACACAACGTAGTGCAAAGCTAATCTAAATAACGAAGCTTGCATGAAGCTCTCAGTACTCCGAAGTCTACTCTGAACTGAAAAGCTTAGAATTGATGTTTTCTGTGGGCTTATATAATTTTACCCGGATTGCCAAGAAACCTCTAGTACCTCCAATTTCTCTAAATTACTGGAAGGCATGTACGGTTAAAGTTACATATAAGGGCCATATGCGGTTACAGTTACACATAGCTATCAATTGCAATTATTCAATTACTTTCCAGTAACAGTTATACAGGGACCAGACATAGATGTCGTCAAATGGTCGCCAGTTTAGTGACTTTTGGTGATTTCTTACAAAATTTAGTCGCCCAAACCATCGCTAGCTTGGCGATATCTCACCAACTCAGAAAGCTATTTACTTCAATGCTAATAGACTTACCCCTGGGATCATATTGGTCTGGCAGATATATGAAATCTGAACAGTGCTTCAGATTTCATATATTCATAAAATCACTGTATAAAAGATACTACAATTTCAAACATAACTTCAGTAAAATCATTCTCATATAAACACAGTTCGTAACATTGCCCCTTTCCAAAGGAACGTTCCGGACACTACAATCCCTCGACAGGAAGCCATATTTATAACTAAGGAAAATAAATGCAATATTAATACAATAATTTCCATAAATAACAGAAAACAAATCAAATACTAAATCAGAAAATAAGTGCATAAAGTTTCAAATTTATAATGCGAATACAATCATGGTCTTAGTATACTATTTACATTATACCACACTGTGGGGTCTACGTATTATACCCACAACGATGGCTTGCCTGTCATACTGAGCGACTTTAGCCTTAGAATTTGATATCTACCTGAACCGAACTATGACGTCATTCGACATTCTTAGGACTGTATAAGGACCGCCCCAGGATGACTGTAGCTTAGGAGAGATTCCTTTCCGCCGAATTGGATTTCATAGCCACACCTTGTCACCTTCGTTGAATTGATGTCCTGTTTCGTATCGGGTCTTCATCTTTTCCGTCGCCAAGTTGACTTGTGCAAAAGTGTGCATCACCTCAGACTGTGCCTGGAGGTCTCGAATGTACTCCTCAGGCGATGAAAGCTTATCCGGAGGGCGTCACACAAGAGATTACAAGGCAGACAAAGGTCACGATCGAAGAGCATCTGGGATGGGGAATAACCGGTAGCCTATTTCACAAGTGCACATCTGTGTAGCCACCGAGGGAGTGGCTTCTAGGATGGACCAATGAGTATCCAGTAAGATTTCTGTCATGTCACATGACCTTTCGCGTGCTTGAATATGGTTGAAAACATTTTCCCACGCAATTTCCTGTACAAAAGATTCAAGCATCGTCGATTTCTTCTGAAAATTTTCATTGCGAAGTTAAATCAAATATAAGCAGTTGTGAAGATTTCACTACCTGGTTGAAAGAATTTTAAATAAAGGTTGGATACCCCGCAAAAATATCCCTGTGAAGTATTACTTAATAAGTGGTAAATAACACGAAGAAATAAATATGTGATAAACATCTGAGCCCAAATGCTATCTTTACATAAAACTATGCATAGAAGAAAAATATTTGCACCAATTATATAATACGCAAAGAGAAGTCAGCCCTTTTTATTGCAGTCTATATGAAAAAGATGTTCTATAATAATAGACAATGCAGAATTTTATTCAAAGTAAACTTTACTAATTTGCATTCGTGTATATTTAGTGTGTTAAATTTCCCATTTAATAACTGCTCACTCTTAAATCTCCTGTCTACACAAGCAATGCTCATCAAACAAAATGAATTTATCTTATTCACAACGAATATATTCAATTTATTCAGATATAACATTTAATACTAACAGTGTATATAATCGTGTTATATACAATATGTATTCTGCATCTTATACTTTCAAAATCAAAAGAATGCAAGCACTGAAATAAGAAAACACTAGATTCATTGTAACACTTCCAGTCCTTCTAAGCTCAATTAAAAAAAAAAAAAAAAAAAAAAAAAAAATCTATACACTTGAATTCTCTTAATCCACAGCTGTTAGTAAATGCATAATATCCGAGGCTAATTGTAGCTTGAGTCATTTGCTCGATGTAAAGAGCGATAATATACCATGAACATCAATCTAAATATTAATGCGTGATAAAAATCGCGAAAGTAAAATGTCAGCGATTAATTAAAATCATAAAACGAAAGCGCTACGGTATTTTCTACTATTACGCCATACATTTATAACTGCGAAGCGAACGCAAATTAAAACGTAAACGCTCACATGCACGAAGATTTAGCGTCACAAGAGCAATAGAAGCTCATTGCTCCATTTTCGAAACCCCGGCCTCGGTGGCTACGTTGATGTGCACTTGTGAAACATGCTAACCGGTAGTCTCCTGGACAGCACAGCGATAGCATATCGTGCGCGTTGGAGCATACTGTGCGACTTTAATAATTAATTATCTTAATTTTGAAATTTTAAACTTTTGTTTATATATATATTCTAGTAGATTATTGAATATATAATATCCTTTGAAAAAAGTGCTAGAATTCTATTGATATGAACTTACTCATAGCATATTTAAAATAGAATAATTAAAAGCGAAAGTGCAACCAACAAACTAAGTTATTATCATCGTTGACCAGAAATTAGTTGACGTTTTTGAGAGACACACACTAATTTTCCGATCAATTAAAAACAATAATTATTAAAATGTATATATATATATATATATATACATATATATATTATATATACATACATATATATATATATATATTATGTTAACAACTGATATTATGATGTCGAAATTTGACCCATGGTACATCGCTGGCGTCCCCCATACTTTTACTTGTACCTATCGAAAGCTATATGGCAGTTTCAACTATCAGTCTGTATGATCTTTACTAAAAATGCGTTGCATTTTAAAACTATGCTATGCCTTGCTACAATACTGCCGACCAGCCGGTAGTAATAAATTCTTCTTCGAAGCTGCATACTCCAAGAGGGCATCGACAGCCCCACCCGTGTTCGATTCCCGGTGAAAGAGCTGATTGCATGGGGTTTTGAGGACTTGCATCGTGGGAAATTACAAAACGTTCGTTCCGTGCAGATTGTTCTTTCACCCAAAGCTAGGCTGTTCTTGCGTGCTTTGCTCTATTGAGTGAAGAAATACGAATTCCAGAAGAAGCATATTTAAGCAACACATCGAACATTAATCTTGAAGATATATCATGAAATCAAATACTTGTTCCTTCGTAGTGATTTTGTGACTTGAATTATTCCCGTTGCTTCGAATCATAACAGCAAAATTAGGGCGGGGAAAAAAACAGCACGATGTATAATTGCATTCTTTTTACAAACTGTCATTAGACATGCGTTTCATTTTACTTTTACAACTTAGTGCTACTCGTAACTGCCTTCTTTAATGTTTGTGGTTTTCGTTAATGGATTTTATATATTTTAATAAAGTTGATGTTAGAGTAAATAAAAATATTTTCCAAAGTAAAAAGCACACGTTTTGCTACTTTATTATGCTATACATAAAATCGTAAATGAGCTAATTTCCGTCTTTAGCAGGATTTATCTTAGGAATTTCAGCAAATTATGCTTTTAAGTACTGTTGGAAAAAAATATACAATTTTTCTTTTACTGCTTAAAAGAGAGAGTTTATAATATTATCCTTTGATGCATATAGATAAAACAATTTATGGAGCTTCCTGTATTAGTAGGCTGAAAATATGCAAGCTAGGTTTTAATTAATAGTTTTCAAAATCGTTAAAAGCAGTGAAAATTTAGCCGTTTTACTTTTCTTTTTACAATTTTTGTTATATTTAAATTACTTAAAATATTCACATACGTAGAATACTGCTTTGAGAATATGCATGTTGAGAATTCAGAGTTCTGATCAATAATTGTCATTATCAGTCCTTATAAAATCGTGAAACTAGTATTTTTTTTCATAAGCAATCTACTAAGATATAAAACGTCGCGACAATGTCATTATTGTATTCTTCTGATAGGAACAAAATAATTGCCTTCCCGATACTAGAAAATAATTGGATACTTAAAAAGTCCATAAGCCTGGATGTGTTGGAAATGAGAAATGCAACTAAGAAGCCTTTCATTGTTTGATAATTTCGATAAGATTCTAAGCGCTGAAATTGAAAACAACTTTATCGATCACATCTGAGCATCTAATAACGACAAAAAGAATTCTGGTATTCCTTTAGGAAATCGTATTTAAACTAATTTTTGGTGACAGTGTCAATCGAGGTTGCTGCTTTGATCTCCTAAATTAAAGAATATTTTCTTGCTTTGCTTTCTTTAAGAAACTAAGGTATTCACAACTATAAATGGAGCTCAGATTTTTGCATTAAACATGGATCTTTGTTTTGCGGTTCTGCATATGCGATGACCAGAAGCTTTTCTTAAAACTTTTGTTGAAATGGAGCATTTAGAAAAGAAAGTATATAAATGACATCAGCCTACATTTACCGAAAAGAATTATTTTGTGAGCAAGCTGAAAGATAAAATAGCAACCTACTTTACGTTACCTCAGTTTTAAGCTGTAATGTAACCTTGCTGACTGCCTATGGAATAGTTCGTCTTACTGGCTAAAAACACTCAGTCTGCATCCAAAAAAAAAAAAAAAAAATAGTTAAGCTTTATGAAAAGTGTTAAACGAGAAAATTTACAGGTAAATTTGCTTTAGAGACAATAAACATATATTATTACGTCATTCATATCCGTAATAGTACATCAGTATATAAAGTTATACCGCAATAGTACATGAGCGTATAAAGTTATACCTTAATTGCATTTAAATTAACTAATGGGTAACTTTTATAGATTAACAGATGAATTCTCCTCCTCTTGTGTTAACTTAAAATCTGGTAACACAAAATATTTACAACTTATGCACAAACATCTCTAAACATTTATACGGCTTGAAGTGTCCTTATTCTCTATCTTCTACTGTTATAACTATCTTTTCTTTCTTAGATTCTCTTTTGTTATGTAAGCTCACTTAATAAGCATTTCTGATGAAACTGACGGAAAGCGGAAGTAAAGGAAAGATTTAACATAAGATATAACGGCTTAATTAAAATAAAAATTACAAGTGTATTTTAGATTCATATGAGTAGTCTACAAACTTATACGAAGGGGTTGCTTCATCGCTGTCATATAGTAAAAAATTCTCTCGTTCAAGCTTTCAAATTTTAAACGACAAAAATCTCTGAGAGAAGGGGAATTTATTATTAAAAATTAAAACACTAGAAAATTCTTTTAAAATACATTTCGCGGGAAGTGTGGTGGTGATCGTTCTCAAACTAATCATCACCATTTTCCATGAGAACAGAATTCAGAACACCACGGAATGAAAATTATTACAATTTGGAGAAGTATGGAAATAAAATGAATATTTAAAAATTCATTACAAACTGATTTAGATAAATTGTTTCATTAAAATATAAAAAGAAATACGCCAAAGTAAAACTTACATTTGTGCAAAGCAACAATCTTGTATTTGGAGTAAATTTTAACTAAGACTCGATTGATTTCAAGGCAGAAAGGGTGTAAGTACTCGTTTATGAAAAATTCTGAAAGAAAGAACTATTTGATTATTTGAAAAGTGATGAAACACAAAATCATTTCTAGTTATTTCCCGTTACCCTCGGATAATTTTGTTGAAGGTATTGTTTTAATTTTTCAAGGGATAATAATATTCTGATTCAGCATTTATTGAAGAAGTGGATAACTCAGTAACAAAATGCCATGCTGAACGGGGGGGGGAAGAAACATTGGAAGGCATTAGGTTAAATGATACTTGTTGCTGCTAGTGAATGACAGTAAACCTCTGCAAATTTCAAATAAAAAAGAATTTGAATCTTAAATCCGCCAAAGTTGGCGATGAAGTGGTTAGGATGGGAGTACGACCATTGAATATGGCGTGTTACATCGGTACTTTAAACATAACTCACACAGCGATTTATTAAAATGGACATGTCAAAGGCGCTCGTTCGGAGTTGTTTGCTGTAGTATTTTAGAAATAGCCTGCCAGCAGCAGAATCAAGTCGCCGAATTTGCCAGCCTTTGGGGTGATGCCGTTAACGAACGAACCGCTAGGCAATGGTTCCAGAAGTTCAGGTCAGGGGATATATTTCTTAGTGATGCTCCACGCTGCGGTCGGCCACAAGCACTGGACGATGAGGCCCTGAGAGCAGCCATACAGAGTGACAGTAGCCAAACATGTGGTGAGCTTGCTGCACACTTCCAGATATCTGATGAAATGATCAGACCCCATTTGCATCGCATAGGAAAGGCATACAAGCTGAGTAAGTGGGTACCCCACTTACTGATCGATGCAAAACAAGCAACAGCGTGTCACTTCTCATGTTTGTCATTGCTTATTCGGCACCGCAATGCATCCATATTTGATTGAGTACTCACCAGCGATGAAATGGGGGTCCAGTACGATAATAATTAAAATACATTGAAATGGTTCACCTGCTAATTCCAGATACAGAAAAGCAGGTATTTTTGTATAAGAGAGATTTCAATATTCCCCCCCCCCCGACGAAGTGGCATTGAAGTTGAATGAATTCCTCATCTGTCATGTTCTTTTTTCTTTACATTTCATTAAATGTTTTGAATTGAGGTATAGCTTGTTTCAAAGTTTATAAGGTATTTCTCCCACTTTCCTAGCGTGCCTTCGTGGTGTTGTAACGGTACACGCTGGGCGGTATTCCAGAGGTCCTTGTTCGATTCCGGCGAAGGCGGTGCGTTTTCATCTTTGCTTCCAATTAGCTAATGACTCTACAAGTGGCGCCCGAACTAAAAGGGTGTGGATGATGATTCTCCGCACCCAGGATTTGGCGACTAGGTCCCCTAAAACCCTAGTCTCCCTAAAAAGGGCAGTATATAAGGTATTTCTTCCGTTCCTAGGCTTCGTGGGTAACGGTGCACGCTGGGCCGGTTTCCAGAGGTCGTGGTTCGATTCCAGGCGAAGGCGGTTTGCATATTTTTCATCTTTTCTGCTTCCACTTAACCTAATGACTCTACAAGTTTTGGTTTTAATATTTTAAAATTCTTTTTTGCGTTTATAGGATTATTTGAAATTTATTAATTATGAATTTCAATTTTTGGTCTGTGAAAAATTAGCTCTAAATTTCTTACTTATATATATACACAAGAAACGGATAAATAAATTTCACGAGATAATATTATGAAATAGCCGATAATATTACAAGATGTAAATCAAAATGCACTTTCACTATGTTAGTCGAAAAGCAGTTACAGTTTGACTTCGATTTTGTATAAAAGTTGCTGATATAATAAGAGCTGATAAATTTCAGAGATTTATGTAAGAGTTGAATTAATATAAAATTATTTCGTATTTTATAAATGTACGCTAATAACGAAGTTCATTTTAGCCTACTTTTAGAATTTACTTTCATGTGTTCCTCCTCCATATACATATTATAGTATATCAGAAATGTATTTCATTTATCCCACGTATGTTATCAAATAACATTTGCAACAAAATGCAGAGAAGAAAACTTATTAAATGATTTACTTTCTTTTTTGCTGATGAGAAATATGTGTTTGTGAAAGGGCTTATAAATACAAGATTTTATTTACTGAGTATTTTATCTCTAACAATAACGCCTTTTCGAAATATTTCTAGAAAACCTGAGAAGAAGAAGCTTAAGGCCATCCGACAACCTCCCCTTTCCTCCCCAAAAATTGCAAAATTTCGAAACCATTATCCTAAAATGAGGAAGGAAAAAGACGTTTATGCTTGCAAAAAGTTATGTCGCCAAAGATTTCACCCTAAACGACAACAACTGCAGTACGCGGTCCACCTCAAATTGTTAATAGACCGTAAAAAATAAAGCTATTTCCTTTTCTCTTTTCATGATGATTGACTTGGATTTCTGGAACCCTTTATTCTGTGTCATCTTGCAAGGATACAGGAAGGAATGCGAATACCAACTTGTTGAAGGAGGGGCTAATTGCTAGGCTAAAGAACTGAATGTGTTTACTACCTAAACCATTTAAGCGAGTTCGTAAATGACATGTTGAGCATTCGCCGTTGGTTGACCTTTCCAGTGACTTAGTGTTAAAAAGCTAAGAATCGATTTCCGCAAAGGTTGGAACAGCCCTTTTGAATGCCGTTGCCGAGACCCCACTGTTTTCTATTCGAGAAGACAGCTGCACCTTGGGGTTTGCTAGAAATTTGAAGGAGTGGATTCATCGCGAGAGAAGTTCAATTTGAATCTGAGCAACAGAATGAAGAGGACAGTTTTCTGGAGAATCCACGACTAGGTGCTGACAGGAAGAAGAATGAGTTAAAGAGGCCATGGGATAGCCTTTCAGGGAGGTAACGAGCTTCTCACACTTAATAAATGCCTACGGGATTAGTATTTACCAAATTATTTTCGTTTCTTTACAAATATGTGTTGTTATAGTCTTTTAAGCCCGGAAAAGTCACCTGTGAGGAGAATCCCCCCTTCCAAGTAAAATTTCATAATATGGTATTGCGTATTTTCGAGTACTGGCACTAACTGTCTAAGGTTTAATTTCAGACTTTCAATAAAACTGTTTTATGTTATAAATTTGGTTAAGCATTTTTTTTTTTGGACCGGCTAACTTCTGAGATTTGGAATTTCTGTACAGTTGTGGAATTTGTTTTTTTCCCTATCAGTGAAAATTGAATTTTTATTTGTATAACCGGTACCAAAGAATTTCTTACATTTACCTTAGAATTAATTAGATAAGATATTTTACAGAGGTGCAACGGGTTGAATAGAAAAATAAGTGAGTGCCGAATTTAAAGGTATCATTGTAAATGTATTAATTAACATGGCGACCTTCCAGTATAATTTTGCAGGTATGCTAAATGTTTTTGTATTTACACGACTTGCCACCTATCACTATGAATCTCGTCAAGGGGTGTAATGTATTTTTCAGAGCGTAGCTATGGTTTTAAGCGCCCGGGGACAACTGAAAAATTTTCGCCCCTTTCTGTGTGCCAAGAATGGAAAACATTTCATTTTAAAATTTCGTAACATCAGTTTTGCGCCCGCTGGATTTTGCGCTCGGGGACAGATGTCCCCTCTTGCCCCACCCTAGCTACGCTCCTGGTAGTTTTAAATAATAGATTTCCAATAATAAATGTGAGTAGTTAATCCCAAAATATATTTAATTTTTTACATGTTGGATGAACATGGTGTTCATCACACCTACTATATTTGCATTGGATTGCTAACCGGGTTCACACAAAGTAAATTTGTTTAATTATTTTTATGTGATTTGAACACTTAGGTATAGATTTGTTACTGCTCGCCTGCTTTATTGATGCTTTGTTGAGCTTATATATACTTTGCACACTTATACACATCAATATGCTTAATTTAAGTATAAATTTTATGTCTATTTTCTCAATTGTGCTTTAAGTATAGATGTGTTCTATGAATATCTAAAATATAAATTAAAAGTAATAATTAATTTTTGCATATTATTTTTATTCTATATAATACTCCTTTAAGCTGAAGTCAGTTATTGTCAAAATTATTTGATATATAATTCATTCTAGGAAGTTTTCCTTCAATTCGAATAGTCAATTTGTTTATAAAGAGCACAGATACAATGAGATTACAACAAATATGAGTACAATTTATTAATGGTTTTAACAAACATGCGTTCTTATGCACATTAAATTTTTCATGGATTGAGTTCTGGAATTTCATTTTGTGCCCGTTACAACAAAAATAAGTATTTATTAAAAAGTAAAGATTACTACGGGGAAGGGAGAAAGTATTTTTTCTCCTATAATATGAATTTATTTGAGCGAAACATTTCTAATGCTTTCATAATTTCTAATTTTTCTATTTACTGCTGAAAAACTCTTCTGCGTTCCTTTAAAACTTTTAGCTTTATTTTTCCCTATCTCGCAAGAGAAAAAAAATCTCTGTTTTAAAGGCTGCCTTAATGCTTTAGGTTAAAATTTATTGATGCCAAAATTCAAATATATTTTGTGCAAGAAATTGTCTCATCACGCAGAACCTCTGTATGCACTGAAAATTTCTTGCATTTCACTTTAAAGGTTCGATGAAAAGAGCGATTGACATGTGCAGTAAATAGTTCATATGACCCACAGATGATTGAAGGAGGAATTATTTTGTCGCTGCTAAGTATTACTAAATATGTTACAGGAGTTTTCCAACTTTTAAAATCTTAAGAAGGTATCAATCAGAAATATATAGAGCTGGTTCTGCCGGAAGTAGTGCGGATAATGTGAAGTAACGTAAAATCCCACATTTCTGGCTTCTCGGTATGTGAATTCCTCTTTATCGCAATTTAATAAGGGGGCGCAGATTGATCCTTTATCATGTGATCCCCAACCATCCATCTTCGTCATTGTCATCGCAGCTTTGGCTAAAACAATGAACCTCCAGAATTAATTGATTACCCGCTGCAAGGAGGGATTTCTCCGCTATGTTTTATTCATAAAGATAAAACTTAAATAATGGACAGCGTTTTGAGTGGCTACACGAAACGCTTGACACATTCTAATTAGGTGTGGAGACTTCGGAGC